AGCGTGCAGGAAGCTGATGGCATCGATGCTGCTAAGGGTGATGGTATGGAAAAAAACGAGAGGTGATCTGTAGGGAAGAGCTCAGGATGGCAAATGCACCCGAGGCAGAGGGGTGGGGATGGCCATGCTGGGTGGCAGCACCCCTGGGGGCTGCAGGGCTCCTGCTCATCTGAGCCACGGGCAGAGCCCAGGGGAGGACGGTGCAGCTCTTCGGGGACGAGCAAAGGGCAGAGCCTGCAGCCATTCCCCTGCCTTGGCATCTTGTGTTCGGCATCCTCTCCAGGCAGCTGCTCTGCCCGGGCTGGGTCTGCTGCCAGCACCGAGCCCCCTCCTCCTCCTCCTCCTCCTCCTCCTCCAGCTCCTGCAGGCACCCTGCAGTGTTGGACGTTGCCCGTCCCGTTCCTGCTCTGCTCCTGCCTCTCTTCAGGAAGGGGCGGATGGGGATTGTCCCCAGCAGCATTCAAGTCAGTCCTCACTATCCCATCTGGGAGTGAAGGTGCTTCCAACAGCATTGGGCTGTGGTGGGTCCTTCTCTGGACAGTGCTGGATTTTAGGGCCATCTCGCCTGGATCTGGGGTGTGCTGGACACCTGCCCTCCCACAGGGCAAAGCTGCACCCTGCAGCACACACCAGGCATTGGCCTGGGAAGCCTCCACCTGCTCCAGGTGTGCTGACAGCCCAGCCGGGAGGAGGAGGAGGAGAAGGAAGCTGAGGAGATGCCACCAAGCTCCATGGCGGGGCCGGTCCCACCTCACCTGGGCATCTCAGTCTGCCACCAGGAACCTGCCCGGGATGGGGATGATTGGCTGTGGGGCTGCAGGGGACATTTGTCCCCTTCCTCGGGGCGGGAGGATGAACTGGGGAGAACATGGAAACACCAAAAAAAACGGAGTCAGACTCCAATCCCTCTCGGTTTTCTGGGATGAATTTGGTTGGTCCCAGGAGATTCGCGCCGTGCGTTTCGGAACAGTTCCAGCCAATCAGAAGGCGGCTCATGATTTCAGTATCTTTAAAAACCAACCAGTCAGGAGCTCTCACTGGTTGGGCTTTAAGATCTTGAGGTATCGGCTTTTCGCTCGGAAAAAAAATCAACTAACGTAGACGAACAGACAACGTCATCTCTCGCTTCACGTTATCTTAGAAGAAAGCAACTATGCAAAATACTCTTCGGAGACAACTCTTAAAAAAATAAAAGCTTGGTCGGAAAATATGTCTGAATCTCTAAGTGTGAGGAGTGAAGGACCAGACGGCAGAATGGCTGGTTGGCTGGTGGAGAGATGGAGACAACGGAGGGTGGATTTATCTGCTGACGGTGACGAGGAGCACACCACAAGACTTAGATTGCCTCCACGTAGTTGGCGGGGTAGAGCCCTAGCTTCCCGTTGTCCAAGCGCCCTTTGCACCATCCCTGCTCGTCTTCCTCACCGAGTTTGGTTAGTTCATCACCTGGAGAGGAAAATGGAAGGGGAGAGCTCGTTGTAGGTGTTGGAGCTGCTCCTGCCCAATGTTTCTCCCTGGGATGGAGCTGCTGGAGGTTTCTAGGACTGATCCTGAGTTTTAGGGTAGAAAGGCAAGGGGTGACCCAAGAGACCTCATGTGCCCTGTCCCTCCATTGCTCCTGTCCCACTTGCACTTGGGCTCAGCTTCTGCTTTCCTCTTTCTGACAGTTCACCTTTTTGAAGGGTTGGGCGAACTCAGAAATTATTCGAGGGACTGCACACCGAAACGTGTGACCAGCTCCAGCAGACAAGCCCTGCTGACTCAGCCCCAGCGACAAACCGTACCTGCTTTGAAGCTGAGCTCGTCCTGCTCCTGCCCGTCGTAGTCGTACAGAGCGCGCACTCGCACGCCCTTCCCTGCCGCCTCCTCGTCGAAGGGGTTGGTGCCCCCGTTGGCCTCACTGGTGTTGAAGGAGTTGCTGCCTTCGTCGTCAGACCACTCGGCGCTGTAGGGCTGCGCGCGCTCGTGGCTGCTCACGCTGGGTAGGCAGAGGAGACAGCGGTGCTGGCACCGAGGACATCCCGTGCCCCCATCACCAGCAGAGCTTGCACAGCAAGTGCTGTGCCTCTCCCGGGGCCTCTCCCCCCGCGCTGCCCTCACCTCCCGCGCT